TACCTATAACGAAACCTTGTCAGTAGCCCAACAAAATGATGTTAAGGAGTTTGTGAGGAAAAATGGAGATTTCTTCTCTCACCTACCTGGACTGACGACGGTCATACAGCATGACATAGTTACCCAGCCCGGGGTCCGCGTAAATGTCAAGTCCTATAGAATACCCGAGGCCAGGCGGGAGGCGGTGGCAAAGGAAATAAAGGACATGTTAGAGTTGGGAGTGATTGAGGAATCTCACAGTGAGTGGTCGAGTCCCATAGTGTTGGTCCCAAAACCCGATGGAACAATTCGTTTCTGTAATGATTTCAGGAAACTGAACAGTGTGTCCAAGTTTGATGCGTACCCGATGCCTCGGGTGTGGATGAGCTCATTGACAGGTTGGGAACGGCTCGGTACATAACCACCTTAGATCTGACCAAAGGCTATTGGCAGATTCCGTTAACGGAAGCTGCAAAAGAAAAGACAGCATTCTCCACCCCCGAGGGGTCCTTTCAGTATAAGCGGATGCCGTTTGGTTTGCATGGGGCTCCTGCATCATTCCAAAGGATGATGGACAAGACGTTGAGACCACATTGCCAATATGCAGCTGCCTACTTGGACGATGTCGTCATCCACAGTCCCGACTGGGAATCTCATTTGTCCCTCTTGCAAGCGGTCGTAGATTCGCTGCGGGAAGCAGGTCTTACCGCCAACCCCAGAAAGTGTGCCATTGGCTTAGAGGAGGCCAAATATCTTGGCTACATCATTGGTCGAGGTCTCATTAGGCCTCAGATCAATAAAATTGAGGCAATTCAAAAGTGGCCCCAACCTGTAAATAAAAAACAAGTCCGGGCATTTCTTGGAATCACGGGGTACTACAGGCGGGTTTATCCCCAATTTTGCCACCATTGCAGCCCCACTGACAGATCTGACAAAAGGTAGGGGGTCAGTCATGATTAAGTGGAATCCTGAGGCGGAGACCGCATTTCAAAGGCTGAAACAAGCTCTCTGTGCTCAACCTGTGCTTGTGACCCCAGAGTTCACAACAGAGTTTGTGGTACAAACTGATGCCTCTGATGTGGGACTAGGTGCTGTCCTGTCCCAGGTCAGAGATGGGGAGGAGCACCCTGTGGTCTTCCTAAGTAGAAAGCTCAACAAACATGAGAGAAACTATGCCATTGTGGAGAAAGGAATGTTTGGCCATCAAATGGGCCTTGGAGGCCCTGAAATATTACCTGTTAGGAAGACCGTTCAAATTGGTTACTGATCATGAATCGCTCAAATGGATGTGTGATAATAAGGAGAAAAACAGTCGAGTGACAAGGTGGTTTCTCGCGCTACAAGTGTTCAAATTCACAGTGGAACACAGAGTGGGGAAACTGCAAAGTAATGTAGATGCCCTCTCCGCCTCCCGGGTCCATTGTCTGGTTGGGACAGTTGCTCAGCCGCAGGGGCTTGAGCAGAGGGGGGGGATATGTGACAGGATGAACGGCGAGGTGATAGAGGGACGCTATGTGTCACCTCGCATATGCTCATACCTGACTGTTTAGGTGGAGTCCACTCCGGGTTTTCGGGGCCACAGTTAAGCCTAATGACCACCAACAGGTGTAATAAATAAGGCAGGGCTGGAGCAAGGAGTTGCTTGTGGCCTGGGACTCAGAGAGCTATTCTGAGAGGAGCTGTGTGTGTATTATACCTACAAGAAAAGGTTTGCTTTTGTTTTATTGTGGTGACAGGGAGAAGCCCTTCACCTCTGAGAGAGGAAACATCTTTTGTGTAGTTAGTGCCTGGATGGCAAGGGTTTTATGTTCATGTTTTTGTTTATTTTCTGCAAACCTTTTAAATAAAGCTGACAACCAGTCAGATTTTGATGAAAGCCTGCTGTGCGGTCTACCTTTGTCCCAGGGAAGGAGATCCCCCACCTGAGCTAACCCCACAGGAGGTTAAAACAACTCCTTTTTTTTTTTTTTTTTTTTTTTTTTTTTAGAACAGGGGTTTTACTCTACATAAGTGGCTTAAAGTATAACTAAAGGCAAAGCTTTCTTTTTTGTTTTGGACAGAGTGGAGAGGGATTTTTATTGCTGTCCCTCTTAGGCTCGGTTTACACTTACACTGCAGCAACTTGGGATCCAATTTGTGAGACCCCAAGTCGCATGACATGTGAAAATCCCATGTTAGTCAATGAGAGCTATGGTAACACTACTGAAGTCACTCCGACTTTAGAAAAGGTACCTGTACTACTACAAGGCGACTTCTATCCAACTTGTGCCCAAAGACTTGAATGGAAGTCAGCTCCAAGTCAGATGCTCATCTATGTTGATGTGATTTGGATTCAACATTACAGGAAGATTATTCAGGCAAAGTTGCATGGCATAAAAGTTGTGCATCAAGTCGCATCAAAGTCATACTCAAGTCGACAGCAAATTGCCAGGAAGTCGCCTGGGAAAGTTGCACTGTATGTCATGCGGCTTACAAGTCACAGTAGTGTGAACTGAGCCTTAGGGAGATTCACCCTCTCAATTGTCCTGTTTACCATTACCATAGAAAGTTAAAGAAAATCAAAATTTTGAGGTTTCCCCAGAAAAAAAATAGAGAGTAAATTTTGCAATGGGGTCACTAGTTCTGGTGACCTGGGGGTCCCCAAGGAATTCCCTTTATTTGCTGGGATTTCCTCTCACTTCTTGTTTGGCTATGAGATAGGAAGTGAAGGGAAATCTCCTCAATGGGATACAGGTGGCAAAAAATAAACTGGCGGGGATTATAACCCTCCTTTGCTCCATCCAAAATGAAAAAAAAATAATTTGCTTATAGTTCTACTTTAATAAAATATGGATCTGCGTGTTTGTGCACTTTCTCTATAGTTTGTCATAGTTCAGCAGGTCCTTAGGAAAAAAAAACTGTTCCTACAAATTAATAGACGCTTTCAATGACTCAAATTGATTCAAATTATCTTAAAGCTGGACAGACACTGATAGCTTATTCTAGGTGCCGGGTACAGGAAAGCACCTAATATTCCAAAATTATTTTTGTTTAGACCAGAGTTCTTTTTTAAAATAATTTATACATACGGCTTGTTGGTTGAAAAATGACATTTCCATTATTCATATTCAAATTAAGGACCATATTGCATTGCTGCAGCTCTGATCAGATACAAAGGGGAGGGCGGAATCTACACTTGCCCACTAGATTCAATAGCTTATCAGCCACATATGCTTCTTTCAGGTCAGCAACTCAAAGTATTAAATTAAGATCAGCATAACAACCATGCAACTATCAGTTCCAGGGAAGAAAAGTTCAGCACTGAAGATCTGTATTTTCAACTGATTAGTTTCCAAGAAGCTAATTCCCCAGTTGCAATAAGACAGGAGCCCCAATTTTAGAATAACTGTAGCTCCCATACTGGTAGATCCAGTACCGTGCTGGAAGCAGTCAGGTATAACATTATTCCATATAATTGCCAACCAAGCAATATACAATAGGGGAGGGATATGTCACTCATTTGTAAAAAGGCAGAAAAGGATGCTGAATGTCTGCCTGGTTATAAAAGGGCAGCCTCACTTGCATTGCAGATCATACACTCACCGGCCACCTTATTAGGCACACCTATTCCTTTGCTTGGTAACACAAATCAGCCAATCACAATGCAGCAACTCAATGCATTTAGACATGTAGACGTGGTGAAGATGACTTGCTGAAGTTCAAACCGAGCATCAGTATTGTTAAAAAAGGGAATTTAAGTGACTTTGGATGTGGTATGGTTGTTGGTGCCAGACAGGCTGGTCTGAGTATGTCAAAAACTGCTGATCTATTGGGATTTCCAAACACAACCATGTCTAGGGATTACAGAGAATGGTCTGAAAAAGAGAAAATATCCAGTGAGGGGCAGTTCTGTGGATGAAAATACCTTGTTGAGGTCAGAGAAGAATGGGCAGACTGGTTCAAGATGATAGAAAGGCAATAGTAACTAAAATAACCACTAATTACATATTACAAAGGTATGCATAATACCATCTCTTGTATCGACGGTTCAGGCTGGTGGTGGTGGTATAATGGTGTGGGGGAGATTTTCTTGGCACTAGCAGGTGTACCTAATAAAGTGGCTGGTGAGTGTAAATGTAATTGTTCTTGCTGCTTGTAAAAGAATACATGAAATGGGACAGCTGCTTTGACATGTGTGTTCCCACAACACAGCACACAGCCTTCCACCATTCTGTGTACTGCTGCTGTAATGGAGTGGCAAACACTTTAGGCTACCAATAGAGAGATCAGTTAGGAGATGGTCTGCTTATTCATTCTACATAACAGCCTGTCTCCTGTATCTCAACAGCAATTTCTAGAGCATTAGTCCACAAGATGCTGGGATACTGGGACCATGGGGTATGAAACACACTAATAGTTACAGGACAGGTACCCCATCCCGTCCATTTCTTTCTTTTCAGGCAGCAGGGACAAGGGCAAGTAGAGGATATGTACAGGAAGTACTGATATCCTTTAAACCCTTAAATACATTACATTTAAATATTATTGCATGCCAGTAAAAACATATTCTGTTAAAGCTAATTCTTTAGGGCAGATGAATTATAGCTTAAATGTGTATACATACAGAAATAACCTGTATTCTAGAGGTGAACATTTTGTACATCGAGGAGATGATAATTTTGTCACGGCTGACATCTGTCATTCTCAGTAGAAATAAAAATGACATCCACTTTCCTCTTTGCATGAATACAAAAAAAAAACACTTTGCAACAGTGTGGGGGCAATTACAGGATTGTGTTCATACAGATCAGACTCCCGCAGTAGCACTCTTGGTAGTGATAATAGCACCACTCTGATGTGTCACTTAATAGCACCCAAGCACCCAGTTCACACTGGCCCTTTTCCAGACTGATAGACACCTCCACATTTTTTCTTCCTTTTGTTTCACAAACTACTACTGAGATTAACCAGCTGGTGGTTTGACATTATTATCTGTAATCTATATAGTGAACTACAAGAGTCAATTTCTGTTTCTTCATGGTAGAAGATGTTGTGTCCTTCCTTGGCTGGTGAACGCTGCTCTGAATCATCTTGCCATTGTCCTTAAGCTGTAGCTCTTTACTTTGCCGTGAATTCAAAGTAGCGTCACTGTCGAGTGGTTCTGATTCACATTTCAGAAGAGTGACAAAACATCTGTAAAACTGGAATTAAAAATTAAAAATTTAAACTTATATGTACTGATGACAGAATTAAAGCAGATCTTCATGCTCCCCCCCCCCCCCACACACACACACACACACACAGACACATCTACTTACCTGGTTGCAGGTCCTACACATTTAAAGTCTCAAAAGTAAAATCAGTCTGTATATGCAGTAAGGCATGCTTGTTATACTCACTGTGGAACCTAAGGGGCTAATCCTCTGCATTGTGTGAAAAGGCTGTTTGGTCCTGACTTCTCTGATCCTCCTCTTGTTTAAATGTGCATGTCTTATCTCCTGATAAGACAGACTGAACCGTAGTCATTCTGCACATGCTTAGTTTAGTGTGTATTGCTAGAGAGGTTTCTTTTTTTTTCTTGGGAAAGCGCATGTGATCAGCACAGGGCCAATCAATACTGTCCAGACAGAGGTTCTGCATTCTCCTAGAGCAGAAAGAAAACTCCTCTTACAAGCTTTAACCAGTGCTCTGCTGAACACTGATTGAAGTCACAAGACTGCTACAACTACTGATGAGAAAAAGTATTTAGCAGTTTTATATTTAATTGCATTTCCATGTTCTGTGTACTGTAGGAGACCAGATATAGTAAATGCAGGGTTCTGGGTTTAGTAATACTTTAAGGTACTAACCCCCCCTGCAGATCCAGCGTTGTCCTGTTGAGATCTGCTTCTTTTTTGCCCCTCCCAGTCACAAGCCGACTTCTTCTGTGACCATTGTTAATTTTCTCAAAATTTGTCAAAGTTCAAATTTCAATTTTGTTTTAGTCACAGTCTTTGACTAAATTATCATTTTAGTTTCAGTTGCACTTTAGTCATCTGCAATTGTTTTAGTTTTAGTCGTATTTAGTCAACTAAAATCTGAAGTACATTTTCGTCTACTAAAATATCCTACATTTTAGTTGACTAAAATCTCCAGTAATTTTAGTTGACTAAACTTTCCAGTAGATTTTAGTTGACTAAAATCATTTTAGTCACCTTACATCTAATGGGTTTAGGTAAATTGTAATGCATTATTTAAGCATTTCTCTAGAATTTACAAACTCATTATATACTCCTGGAGTGAAAAATGGTATGTTATTATTTAGGGTATTTAAAGTTTAAAGAAACTACACAGATGCCAATTTAGCCATTATATAACGGGTTTATACGTAAAACATCCCTCTCTCACATTTTCATTCCCTTTTCATTCATTGACGAAAATGGAATGGATTATCGTCATAGTTTTCGTCAATTGGGAACATGTGGGATAATTTTCATTTTCGTCATTGGAAATATGCTGTTGATGAAAATTATGCAGGAAATGTTTTCATTGTCAAAATTAAGACTGTCTGTGATGCCATTGGTAAGCTGCCAGCTTCTCTGGGTTAAGTCAATGGCTTCCTGATGTGTCCCCTAGCCCTACCCCCCCCCCTCCTTTTCCAGTGAAGCACTATGGCTCCTGGGATTTGTGACATACATATCCCAGGAGGTAGAGCTGACAAAGAGCATGATGTAATTCTCCTGGGGGGGCAGATCTTTACTTATTATAAAAAACATGGACTTTTAATTTAAACACTAGTATTATACTGGTGAGTTTAACTGAAGACACTTCTCAGGTTGGTGTCTATTCTATCTTCTCAACTTAAAGAAGTGGAGCTCCACCCAAAAGGGAAGTTCTGCTTTAAGCCTTTGTCCCTCACTACCCGTTAAGGATTGGCACCTTTGGGGAGTGGGGGGGGGGGGAGCATGTACCCGAATTTGACAGGCACCTGCTCCCACTTCTGCTGCGATTGCCTAAGACGATCAGAAGCAGAAATTGTCCTCCCCCCTTTCTTCCCATAGTTTTCTGGCACACGACTACAGGAGCACTCACAAAATGCAGCACTACTCGCGCATGCACAGTAGGCACCCGGCTGTGAAGCCGCAAGCTGTCACAGCCGGGTGCAAACACTGAAGATCTCGGCACCAGGAATATAGGATGGCTAGTGCAATGAGCCGTGGTGAGGACACCGTGGGATCGAGGGACAAGTAAGTGTCTGTATTTTAAAAGTCAGCAGCTACAGTTTTTGTAGCAGCTGACTTTTATTTTTTTTTATTCAACTGGAACTTTTTATTGGAGAAGAGACATAGAATGCAATAAAATACACCTACCTGCCTGATCTCAGAATTCTCCAGCATGTCCCTGTATGCTGGGATAACTAGCTCCTGCACATGCACAGGAGTGACAGCATTCTGCGCCGGCCAATGAAGGTGGTTGAAACTGGCACACAGAGCAAGATGCTGGCAAGGGACAGGAACCGTTGGAGAAAAAGTGAGCATACAGTAGCTGCCGTTAGTTGCACTCTAATGTGCACCTGTGAAAAGACTATGGAAATTACAGTATTTATAAATTCTTAAAGGACAATAAAATTGCTTTAAACACTGATGTCTCTAACCAGGGGCGGACTGACCATTTGGAAACTCGGGCACTGCCCGAAAGCCGGGGTCAGTAGGGGGCCCCATGAGATGCCCCTGGTACCTTTTTCATAGGCTTTTTTGAGTTTGGGCAAGGACACAGGGGCCCCATGATCCCCTATTGCCTGGGGCCCCCATGAGTTGTCAGTCCACCCCTGTCTCTAACTGCATACTAGGTACAGTACAGTGATCCATCCTCTGACTCTAATGTCAGGTTTCAGGGGGTTTCTAACAGCTTAGAAGCATCTACTGTGTGTTTATAATAAAAGACTGTCAGGCTGCCAAGATTCTGCTTCTGTACTAAATAAGGGGCTGTGAATTCATTGGTTCTGTTATTAACTTTGAAGACAAGTTTCTCTACAAAGTCTATAACTACAGAGGTATGTGAGATCTTGCTTTATTGTTCTTTTCAGAATATGTAAAGGCATTGTACATTTCAAAGGTTTTCATTGTTATAAATAGGTGTTAGTGTAGTTTTATTCCCTGTGTGGTTAGTTATCCTTACCTTGTTATGACAGGCTAACAACATGTTGTGGCTTCAGTTTGTAGAGTCATGGTTGATCAATTTCCCTTTGTCCATGTATTACTGCAGGTAGTCTGTCCCTATTCACCAGGACAGGCAATGTCTTGTTCCCGGTCACATAGGGGACATTTACTAAAGTTGATTCACTTAGAATCTTGTACCCTTGTGCATGGTAGCCATTCAGCTTCTAACCTCAGCTTGTTCAATCAAGCTTTGGCAACAAAACCTGGAAGCTGATTAGTTTCTATGAAGATGTGAGCCTGATAGTGCCCCATAGTGTCCCATATGTTGCTGTTTCCTCTGTGATGCACCACAAATGTGGGAGTGCTAATGTGATGAAAACACATCTCTTGCAGCATGGTAATCTCTTTGTTAACTGTTCTGCATGCCTCCGTCTGTGATCATGTCAGATTTAAAACAGATACCCAACATGTCAAGCCTTGTAATTGCGTGTACCAGTGAAATGGGAACAAACTTTGGCAACCTAAATTTTCCATTTAGGGCTTTACTTTAAAAGCCCCTGCTTTAGATCAGTTTAGATTTAACCATTAATAATGCCTTGGAATAATTGCTCTCACTGCTATGTACAGCGATATGTAACTCTAGTAGCTCAATCAATGATTTCATACATAGACGCCGCCAACATTTGTGTTTATGTTGGTATGAATATACTGTATGTGGGGAAAGGAGGTCAAAGCCGTTTTGGGGTAGGGGGGAATTAAGTGCTTGGGTTACCCTTTGTTGGCACTAAACTTCATGTACTATCACATAGAGGTCCACAAGTCCCCTATGTGAAACAATTTTACTGTCTTTTAGATCCCTGATTTTTCACTTGCCCTCCACTGAAGCTAATGCATGTAACTGAAGAAAGTGACAGCCGAACTCTGAAGTTATGTCATGCGCATTGCTTCAAGGTTCTTACTAGGTAGGGGAGATCAGCTGGTCTCCCTCCCCTCTAGCAGTTTCATATCCAGATACATACAATATCAACAATGCCAAAAGACCTTCAAAAAGGTTCTAACACTGGTCCGTGTTACTGTACATTGCATTTTACCATAGCTGACTATGCTATTTTATTCCTGCATCGTTTGATATGCCAGTCATACCTGTTTATTCATAAAATATATATATAAGTGGATTAACACAGGTGCTGCTCTTGGCCAGAATGGATGGTATGATGCCAACTGTGGGTGAAATGATTCCAGGTTCCCCAAAAGTTGTAATCAAGGAAACTAATCCATAAGGCATCCAGCAGATGAGATAGCAAGTAATCATGCAGAGAACCATAAACAGCAAGTGGTGTTCCCTCTTCTGAGCTGTGCTCAGGTTAATCCGCCCCATCTGTGAAGAGAATTAGAAGAAAGTTGTTAATCCTTCACCCTCATATTCTCTGAACAGCCACTAATGTTTCAGCCCATGGTAGCTACAGTAAATCTTTGACTGGATGATTAATTTTTAATAAAAGTTTCTATTTTTACCAAACATCCCTATAGGATTCAAAACGGAACTAATCTGAAAGTCAGTGCAATTTATGGCAGGTATTTTCTCTTACTATGTTACTACTTGCCTCTCCTTGAATACAATGGTTTACATGGAAAATGGTAGCTTCATTACCACTAAAGACAACAGGCTAAAAATTCAATTGATTATAGGGTGCATACACTTCCATTTTGCAGTTTGATTTGGTTAAAGACACGTTTTAACCCAAAGAATCTTGGTCAACATACCACTAACCATTGTGTTTACATCTACAGTGGGGATCGAAAGTTTGGGCACCCCAGGTAAAAATTTGTATTAATGTGCATAAAGAAGCCAAGGAAAGATGGAAAAATCTCCAAAAGGCATCAAATTACAGATTAGACATTCTTATTATATGTCAACAAAAGTTAGATTTTATTAACATCATTTACACTTTCAAAATAACAGAAAACAAAAAAATGGCGTCTGCAAAAGTTTGGGCACCCTGCAGAATTTATAGCATGCACTGCCCCCTTTGCAAAGCTGAGACCTGCCAGTGTCATGGATTGTTCTCAATCATCGTCTGGGAAGACCAGATTATGTCAATCTCAAAGGTTTTAAATGCCCAGACTCATCTGACCTTGCCCCAACAATCAGCATCATGGGTTCTTCTAAGCAGTTGTCTAGAAAACTGAAACTGAAAATAGTTGATGCTCACAAAGCTGGAGAAGGCTATAAGAAGATAGCAAAGCGTTTTCAGATGTCAATATCCTCTGTTCGGAATGTAATTAAGAAATGGCAGTCATCAGGAACAGTGGAAGTTAAAGCAAGATCTGGAAGACCAAGAAAAATAACCGACAGAACAACTGGCAGGATTGTGAGAAAAACAATTCAAAACCCACGTTTGACTGTACGATCCCTCCAGAAAGATCTGGCAGACACTGGAGTTGTGGTACACTATTCCACTATAAAGCGATACTTGTACAAATATGGTCTTCATGGAAGACTCATCATAAGAAAACCTCTGCTACATTCTCACCACAAAAGTCATCGTTTGAACTTTGCAAATGAACATATAGACAAGCCTGATGCATTTTGGAAACAAGTTCTGTGGATGGATGAGGTTAAAATTTAACTTTTTGGCCGGAATGAGCAAAGGTACGTTTGGAGAAGAAGGGGCACAGAATTTAATGAAAAGAACCTCTGTCCAACTGTTAAGCATGGGGTTGGATCAATCATGCTTTGGGGTTGTGTTGCAGCCAGTGGCACAGGGACCATCTCACGAGTAGAAAGAAAAATGGATTCAATAAAATTTCAGTAAATTTTGGATGGTAACTTGATGCCATCTGTGAAAAAGCTGAAGTTAAAGAGAGGATGGCTTCTACAAATGGATAATGATCCTAAAACACACCTCGAAATCCACGGGGGATTACATCAAGAGGTGTAAACTGAGGTTTTGCCATGGCCTTCACAATCTCCTGACCTCAACATAATTGAAAATCTATGGATAGACCTTAAAAGAGCAGTGCGTGACAGACAGCCCAGAAATCTCAAAGAACTGGAAGACTTTTGTAAGGAAGAATGGGCAAAGATACCTTAAACAAGAATTGAAAGACTCTTGGCTGGCTGCAAAAAGCGTTTACAAGCTGTGATACTTGCCAAAGGGGGCAGTACAAGATATTAACTCTGCAGGGTGCCCAAACTTTTGCAGACGCAATTTTTTTGTTTTCTGTTATTTTGAAAGTGTGAATGATGGAAATAAAATCTAACTTTTGTTGACATATTATAGGAATGTCTAATCTGTAATTTGATGCCTTTTGGAAATTTTTCCATCTTTCCTTGGCTTCTTTATGCACAGTAATACAAATTTTTAGCTGGGGTGCCCAAACTTTCGATCCCCACTGTATTCCTGGTCACAGTTGCTTCTCCAGAGCTGTGAATGAGTCTTTATCTGCATGCGCATACCTCAAGGTGCACCTAGAATCCTGTATGTCCTGTATGCATGTGCATGCAAATACCCAATGCTACCATTTGCACCAAAAGAGCTATCTAAGCTTAATTCCAACATCTTTGGTGCTAAAGTGATCATCAACATTCCTGAACAGACTTGATTTTATTTGACCTCCTGTTCCTTCAGCTGGCACAACTAGTATTTTACCACACCTTAACTATCTTCATCATGGCTATATTTGGCCCTAGTTTGCCTATAACTCTTGTTCTGCCCTCTGCTCACTGGTTTTGGTATTTAATTTGCCTGCTTGCTCCCATGCGCACAAGAGTATGACCATGGCACAGTGCTCTGAAGGGATGTCATGTTCTATGTGCTGTCCCTTCAGAGCGCAGTGCACATGCGTCGGTGACATCACCGGTTGCAGATCATGTCAATATTACCTAAATGGTGCACGCTTAGGAGATATTCATTTACCTACAGGTAAGCTCTACTTTATTTATTTACTACTGCTACTACAAGCTTATTCGTCAGTTGCAAAACTGGGCCATCTTTAAGGGTGGGATTCATCCAGATGCCTGACTGGCAGCTGGCATAGCATCTTAGAGTGCTGCTGAGAGTGTGAGCCAGTCACTTCTGCACCCTCCACAGCCTGGTGCTCCAGTGAGTGCTGGAGGGCAGAGCAGAGAGCTGTAGACTAACAGTCACAGAGCAGACCCAAGACCTGAGCGATCAGCAGTCATGTGATCACTCAGTTCTGAGTCTCAGAGCTGGTAGGGGACAGCTACAGCATCGGATCAATCCTTCAGCCATAAAGGTGAGCATATATATTTATTTTTTTTGATCCCGTACATATCCCTTAAACATAAATGTAAGTTACAACAGCTTAAAGACTCTATGTTGCTACATCCTGTATTTTAGACCTGCTCTGCTTCAGAATATCTGAATATCCTTGACAGATATGCAGGGGAGGCCACAATCCACACTGCATTTGGTACTTCAAACCTACCTGCTAATATCTTTGAACTTTCTTAATCTTTCTGCACAATCCATCCAGCAGAGCATATCTACATGTTGAAGATACTGCACAACAAATCCAACCAGACCAATTTTTAACAAAAGATGAAAGGGGTTATATTGAGGGGGGTTGGGAGTCTGTAAATCTGAGCATAGAACTCTTTTGCAAGGAGTTAAACACCATTGTTAATATACAGCATATAGGCCTTTTGAAACTTTTGAAAATTGTTAGTTCAGAAAATAAAAGAATCAGCTGCAGCTGAACTCAAGTTCAGTAAAGGCCATGTTTATAGGTTCCTCCATTCAATTCTCTGTAAAGAAACACCTTCACTTTTGCTGCTAAATAAAACTTCTCTATAAATTGTTAAGATCTTTGGCATGTCGTGGGACCATGAGCCCTAGACTTTTAATTTAGAGAATGTATGTTTCTATGATGATTTCCTGTGATAACTGGACAAAGTGCATGTGTCGTGTGGTTCACCCTGAAATGTAATAGCACCAGTAATGAATGCGGGGATGAAAAGGTAACTGATAAAGATGGAGCAGATTGCACTGCTGTGAGCTGTTATTTAAAGAACGGAAATAAACCTTTCCATTCTATGTACTTATGTCAAAACACTTTGTAGAAATGGAACACATCCCCAGAAGAAAATGTGAAAGATACATATGTAACAGGAGAAATGTGTCATGGTTTTTCTTCGTCCTGAACACAGGAGTTTTTGTGTATGCCCAATGGGTATGCGCAAGTGTTTGTACTGATCATATGGGCAATGTAAATGTTAGAAAGAAAAATGTGAGGATTTTCAAGATGCTTGAGCACATTTTGCTTGCTGTGTGATATAACTACTATATTTAACATATCTTCAAATGTAATTTTTACAATGTAGGTGCTTCTGTTTAACAGATCGTAGAATAGCCCCAGAGCTAGGCTTTTGGAACTTTTTTCTGCCCTGCTTGCATGTAACTGAGCATAGTTTCCTATCACCCTTACATAAAAAGCAGGTCTTTAGGAGGAAGAGCACATTGATTATACTAGACTCATTTTACTATAAATCCATGGGCAGATTACACTTCAGACATTTATTCCACAGCTCAACAATAGCCAACTTTTTTTCATTTAGGATATGGTAACTTTGTATTGCTGTTTTATGTTCCCATTTGAGAGATTTCCTCCCATTACCTGTCAAAACAGAACAGTAAATGATTAGAAAAAAAACTTGTTCCAGTAAAATTTACTTTTCTTTTTATCGCAGTCTTTGCCCATGTTGGGGAGATTTTCCATCACTTCCTGTCCAGCTGGCAGACAGCATTTAAAATGTGACAGAAGTTTTTGTCCTTCTCCACACTACGCAAGCCTAATTAACAAGATATGGTTGGTGTTTGGCTGGATGGATTGTGCAGAAAGATGAAGATGTTCAAGTGCCAATAATGAAAATAGACTCATGGTTTGTATATAAAATACAGTGATCAAAATATGATACAATAAGCATACAGAAGACAAAAAATTTGTAAAATAGTAATAGTTTTTCTGTGCCATAACGTGGCTGTTCTTGGATGTGCAGGCAGTGGGGGTTTTTTTTCTGCCTCTAAACTTTTCTAAACGCTTAGGTGTGCATTGACACATAGGCTAACATGCGGGAACGTTTAGAAGCAAACAAAAAAAAAACCTCTAGATACCTCTAGGAGCAGAGTTAATAATGTCCAATGTGCCTAATAGGTAATGTCTTTATATTTTGTATAGTTCAAGTGCACAGCATGATAGATGGTATTTGTTCCACTGTCCATTAGGCCTTTCTAATTTGTTTTGTCCATTAAAACCTAAAACGCATGCAATCCATTCGAGTGGACTTGTGAAAAACCAAAAAAACAATACATTTTTTAATTTTTTGCCCAAAGAGTAATAAAAACACAGATGAAAAAAATCCTGACTGTGAGTTTCAGAATTCATGCATGAAAGAGTTAACCCAAAACCCATTTGACTAATGATTTGGTAATAGAAGCCTGTAAAATGGCTTATGTTAGGAAGAGACTTGAGGTCCTCTACAAGTAACCTGTACATTTGTGATCTAAAGGAGAAAAACAAATTACTTGAAGGGAGCTACATGAAAAGGGAAATACACAAACTTTATACTGTCAAGATCTCTGTTTAAAAATCAAACTGAAGGCTTCATAGCTTCCAGGCAATAGTCATTAGGATCACTGATGGTTTTATATCATATAAATGTCATTCATTTGGCATGGTGCAGTATGCTTTTTCAAACTCACTGGGAATGATTCTCTAAAGGCAAATAGACTGTTCACTTTACAAGGGAAGTTGCATTGTAAAATTGAATTTTCCCCAGAGATTTCACTAAACCCACATCAATAAAAACTATCAATAAATGCTGTATTACATGCTGTTCATACTCACTCAGTCACTATGAGATTCGTTTTCTGTATTCTGCTAAAAACCTGGTTGACCCTGCTGTTCTCTATCCCCCTTCTGTTCATGTCCCCATTGCAACTGGGATTTTGAAGAGCCGTATGGGCAGCTACTGCACTAGCTCAGTTTTCAGTGAGTTCTATGCTGAGCATTTCCTCCCCATCATATCTGTAACTATAGAGTCCATCATGTAGGTTTATACACAGTGGTAAATGACAGCACACTCGCTCCCTCCTCCTCCATGCCCACTAACCAACTAAACACAATGGGGTGTGGGATATTACATGAAGGATTGATGGAGGCTTCACCTCCCTGTAATTCTAAGGTTCAGGCTGAAGGTTTGTGACACAGCCTGTGACTAACAGAAATCAACCCACACCATGTTATTGCCCAAAAAAATGTTTGATTTCAAATATATATTTGTATGCGATTTTAAAACAGTTTATTGCTATTAATTAAAAAACTATGAAAATAGTGCAGCGCTGCTAATATTCATTAAGACAATGCATACGAAGCAAATAAAACAATACAAGTGAATCAACCCCCTTGTGACAGCATAAATAGCATATATCAATCACTGGTGTCAAGGTGCAAATTGACACACACTTAGTAAGTGACTAAGGGGTGATAAACAGTCCAATATGAGCACACAGGTGAGGAACTCTTCACACGTGGATGTGTCATACGTGCCACAGGAATCCCAAAACAATCTGAGTGCCCCCTCACCTCCTTGCAATGACCTCAAGGGCCAACCAGCTTTCAACAGATAGTCAGGCAATCTCCTGTTGATCCCTTCAGTATGACCGGAATGATGGTAACTTTAACCAGACCTCTTCCACCGCTCTAACGACACCTCTATCTTCCACTCAGAGACATAAACCAAACAGGCTCCATAGTGCAATATATCCAATTTATTAAATAAAAAAACAAAATACCCACTTACATGTAGGCAAACGATCGCACACAGTAATCGGCTGTCCTCCTGACATGCGGCTTCATGGAGTCCCAATATGGGACTACAATATATCAAATTTATTAAATAAAAAAAAAATACCCACTTACATGTAGGCAAACGATCGCACACAGTAATCGGCTGTCCTCCTGACATGTGGCTTCATGGAGTCCCAATATGGCGCGGACGCCGGAAGTCTTCCGGCGTCCGCGCCATATTGGGACTCCATGAAGCCGCATGTCAGGAGGACAGCCGATTACTGTGTGCGATCGTTTGCCTACATGTAAGTGGGTATTTTGTTTTTATTTAATAAATTGGATATATTGCACTATGGAGCCTGTTTGGTTTATGTCTCTGAGTGGAAGATAGAGGTGTCGTTAGAGCGGTGGAAGAGGTCTGGCTAAAGTTACCATCATTCCGGTCATACTGAAGGGATCAACAGGAGATTGCCTGACTATCTGTTGAAAGCTGGTTGGCCCTTGAGGTCATTGCAAGGAGGTGAGGGGGCACTCAGATTGTTTTGGGATTCCTGTGGCACGTATGACACATCCACGTGTGAAGAGTTCCTCACCTGTGTGCTCATATTGGACTGTTTATCACCCCTTAGTCACTTACTAAGTGTGTGTCAATTTGCACCTTGACACCAGTGATTGATATATGCTATTTATGCTGTCACAAGGGGGTTGATTCACTTGTATTGTTTTATTTGCTTCGTATGCATTGTCTTAATGAATATTAGCAGCGCTGCACCATTTTCATAGTTTTTTAGTTTATGGTATATTGGTACATAGTAGGTGTTAGCAGCTTTTATTACTATTAGGGTCATCTAAGCGCAGGGGTTCTTTCATTTATTGCTATTAATTGTTTATTTTTACTCTGTATCCCAAAGGGTTTTTTTTTTATTTTGAACATGTGACCAGCAGCAGAGGACTAGAAGCTCCTCCTGCCACTGTTTTCCTGCAGACAGGCTGGGAAAGAGCTGGGTCATGTGACGGCTATATATATATATATATATATATATATATATCAATTAGGAAAAAGGTACTTAGATTTTTTTAATTAAAATAATTACAGTGCCATCATACACATACAGAAAGAGGAGAGATAACGTAAATTAAACAGTGTGTGTTTAGTATCACTTTAAGTGTAAGAAAAGCCTAACTATATCTATTCTTAAAAATGTTCCCTCCCACTCCTCCTACTTATCCTGCCTACCCTGTGTAAAAAAAAGATCTGTGTACTCACCTACTTTTGATCCGCTCCAGTCTGATCATGTGGTCCTGAAGCTCCAGCTCCCCTATGTAAAGTGCACTTGACAAAGGCTGTAAACTCTGGGAGGCATGACAACACATCACCCATAGACTACCATGTTCCAGCTGTTGTTGGCAGTCCCTCCTCTCCCCTACATCAGTCACTCAATGAGCTACAGAATCATGTGACCAGACAAGAGCGAATACAATTAGGTAAGAACACATTTTTTTTTTTTATACAGGGTAGGTTTGAGTGAATGCAGTGAAGTTTTTCACTTTTTAAAGAATGCACTCATGCAAGGGAAATTTTTGTTTGCACATGATTAGGTGAAGGAAGCCAGCACAGCAGCTTTACCTCATTCACTAAACTCTGGGGAAAATTCCCTTGCAAACTGCAACTTCCAACATGTCCATATTTTAGACTTATTAGAATTTATCATTGGAGCCAGGATAATAAAATTGAACTTACCCCTCGAATGACTTTGACAATGTGTCCATAGCTAAATATCATAATGAGCAGAGGTAAGACCAGACAGAACAGGAAGAGGCAAACAATATACGATACATTGTTTTGTGACTTTGAGTCCCATACCACTGAACATGTTGTTCCCGAACTTTCCAGACCATAGCTGCTCCAGCCAAAAAGAGGTGGCACGGTCCATAATAGAGAGTAGAACCAGGATCCAATGATACATAGCCAGGCCTTTCTGTAGTTGGATGCATCAACTTTTTGACATTTTAGCACTGTTAGGTATCGCTCATAGGATAACACAGACAGGGAAACCAGGGACACAATACCTGCAGTACAGATTATGTGGTTAGAAGTCTGGCAGATTTTCATGAAAATATATTTCTACACGCAACCATATATGAAATACTGTAAAAATATTGAAAACATAGTAAGTTAAAGGGCAACTCTGTGTTAAAGTTTTACTAAGCCCATACCTCCCAGCTTTCTGAAATGGTAAAATGGGACACATTTTAGCACACAGTATGTAGGCAAAGGACACACCTCTACCATGGCCTCAGTTACACAGATCACAAAGATCTAATATGCAGAAAATTATTGGCTAAACCACACAAGTGCTTTCCTGACCTCTGTAGTGCTCTCCTAGTTAGCTAGGGGGAGCTAGATAATTTTTTTTTTTGTTAGAGGCTGAATAGCAGTCTGTGCAAAAGTCAGAGGATCAAATTTGGGTCAGGGCTGAAAGGCTCTGCAGATCAGCTCTCTGAAACCTTCCCCTGATCTAGAGACCTGGAGAAGTCTCTAGAATTCAGTAGGTGAGGGTGAGGAAGAGCTGGCCTAAACTGTCAAGGGATCCTGGCCAATCCCCAAGCAGGAGGCTTGGCATGGGGTCAGGACAGCTCTTAGGAGTGACCATGCCTGCTCAGTAGGAGGAGAGTTCAGGTGGAAGATGGAGTGAGCAGGATGGTGTATGGAGACTGGAAGGGGGTCCAGGAGAGGGGCTTACCTACAGGCAGAAGAAGGAAGGATCTCTCAGCCTCAACCGTCCCCGGAGGGAGGACAGCCTGGAAGCAGGGAAGGAGCCAGCCCAGCATAAGGCCTGAGGCAGCCACCAACCCACAAGCTTGCAGGAGAGGACTGAGTAAGTAACCCCACACCTCCTGGGCCAAATAAGGGGAAAGGGTATTCTGGTGGAAAACCTGACTAGCCCCCATCTGGGACTGCTGAAGTGGCAGATTCTGGGTTCCCTTGACAAGGAATTCCCTCAAATAGCTGGGTGAAGAGGAGATTTCATTTAAGGTTTGAGGTGGTACGTCAGGAGAGGCAGGATAGCTCTCCAAAGAAGAAAAACCCTTCTGAGCACTTGTACATAGTTTCAGAAAATTGTCCTCAGTTCAACAGTTCCTTGGGCATCCCATGTATCCCTCATCCCCACCCAAGTTTCAGTTCCCTAATAAAATCCAAAAAAACAAGTTCAAGGACTGCTTACTGTCTCCTGTGTGCAAGGCCTGAAGGAAATGTGTGTTGCCTAGCTGTGCAGGACTATAGGAGAACCCAAAACTTCAGCAACTTCTAAGGGGGAAGTGCTACACCTATTTTTCCTGTACTGTATATTGGCTTTTCAAAATAACAAATGAAGTAATATAGAGCTTGGAAAAAAAGTTAAAGCGATAGTAAACCACAAAAAAAAATTCTAAAAATATTTTCCCTGCAAGCTAAGAGCATAATGTGCTGGTATGCATTGCATACTAGCACATTATGAATGACCTACCTGAAAGCGAAGCCCTCCAGCAGAGCGCTGTCATGGCTCCCTGAGGCTTCCGTCTTCACCTGGGCTTCCTTCGAAGTTCATGGATTGCTGCCATCTAATTTGCTGGGCTGCAATGTCATCACTCCCGCACATGCGCCGACTGCGGCATCGCTCTCTCAATGGACAGCATGCCGCATGCCGCAAGGTGACATCACCAGCACTTCTAGAGTAAATATCTCCTAAGTGGTGAACTTTTAGGAGATATTTACAGTACCCACAGGTAAGCCTTATTAAAGGCTTACCTATAGGTAAAATATGAAAAAAGGAGTTTACTTACACTTTAAGTGCAGCATAACACTTTTGGTAGTAAAATAGTATATTTTGTATAGAGATATATACAACAGAGCAAAAAGAGAAACAACTGAGGTTGTACGAGGGACAGAGGAATTTGGTCTCAAAAAGAGGGACAGTTGGGGGTTATGTTTGCATGCAACACATTTAATTGGCTCCCAGTGCTGTCCCTCCTTCTCCTAGTCTGAGTGCTGCTGTATATGGGAATTGAAGCTGTATTAACGTGTGTATTTTATTTTTGGCTCAACATCGGCTTTATGATGATTGCATGCACTGCGAGGCAAAGACATATCGTGATCAAATTTTCCTTCCCAACCTTTCCAGCTCAAGCTGTTGACAAACAAGTAGCAACTGCCCAGCTATGGGTTTCATTACTTGCATGACTCTGAAAATTTTAGCTATAGACATTAGACATCGGTCAGGTGCCTCTGTATGGTTTGCACACTACACAATCTTTTATTTTTAACTCTGAGAATATTGGATGTATGATCGTCCGTCTTTTTTTATTTTTTTGCATGCTAGTGTCATATAGAAAGTGAAGAGGTTACTAAAGTTACAAAAATTCTTCTATAACAGAATAAAAATTTGAAAGTGATGTAAGGTATTGTATTGTATTTTCAGACATAAACTGTATTGATTAAATGAAAATCATACGATCTGGTATTGTACGAGAAACGTTTTCGTGCTTGTCCCTTTAAATCATTTTGTACGAAAGCTGTGTACTAACTACCAGATCATCATACGATCGCTTTGAAAGCGGTATTTTTGTATGATTTTCTGATTGCAAGTACTAGGTTTAAAAGAGATCACAAGTGTGCATGCCAGTCTGCATTCAGCAGACAAGCCCAGTGCCAGCCCACCTTCAGAAAACAAAAGCAGCCGTCCAGGAAAATCCAACCTGGCTGGAAAACTTTTCCCATGAGAACAATTGGCCAAGGGTGCCTACTGCAGTTTTCAAGCGAAATTCTGGCAGGATAAAAATCACATGCATAAATAATGTCACGTTACACTCACTTGTGAGCACGATTGCCAGCCTAATTTGCTATTTTTATGGACAAAAGGCCAAATATTCATGAGCACACAAATTTTACATAAACATAGCAATGCAATATTTTAAAATAAAGGCGGTTCTTTGTTTTTTTTTTATATATTAACAGTACAGGTACAAAGAGCAGTGGCAGTGCCATATATGTATATACACTGAGCACTTTAAAAAATTAAGTATTTGCAGGAAAGACTTTATTGAAGGTTATATTTTTTACTATTTATTATTTATATTGTGCCTAAATATACAGTTCTGCAGAGTGGATTTTAAATGATTTGGTCTGCAAATATATGACTTTGGGTATATACTGCAGCAGCAGGTGTTTTTATTAAGGGCTTGTTACTAATAAGAAATTTTGTCTAAGTCTAGGTTCACACCTATGCTTTCTGTGTTTTGAAAAAATCCATAGCAGTCCATTTATCATGATTTCCTATGGGACAGGTTCACATCTCCGTGCTTTCACCCGGTGCATTTTATGGAAAGGGTCATGGACTTTTTTTAAACACAAAACATTGTGGTTTTTGTTCTATAGACTTCAATGGAGATGCTGGAGAAAAGCATGTAGTGTATGTTTTAATGCTTTTTTGACACGTTTTTGATGTTTTTTTGCGGTTTAATCTGATCAGCAACAAGTTGGGAAAAAACGCAAAACGCGGCAAAAATGCATGTGCAAAAACGCAAAATTCACCGCAGAAAGCACTGCAGAAACTGATCAAACTCAAACTGCATAAGTGTGAACCTAGCCTTAGTGCAGAGTGGTTTGGTTAAGGTAGATAAATGGGTGCACAACACCGCTGGAATGTTCAATATTTTATTCCACCAAGTGTCAAAGACAGACAGCACAGCAACACAGAGGATTCAGAGTAGCTGTTGGCGCATTTCACACAATGCTGTGCTTACTTAATCTGTTCCTGCCCGGCCAATAGCAAAAGGACAGCCAAGAGGGACTCTGATTCATGACTTCTTTCTGGATAGCACCCAATGCGTGTCCGCAAGGCCGTGCTGTGTGATCTGTGTACCTCTTGACAGATCTGTGTAACCGGCCCGTTGTACCTTGTGACCGCTGTGACCAATGTCACATAATAATTGTAAACAATGGATGGGCAATCCATTGTATACAATTGTGTACCTAGCTTTGATTGGTCATAGTGATCACATGTACAGACTGGGCCAATCATAGTCCATCTGTGTCATGATTAGCTGTGGTAAATCACAGCTAATCACAACAAAAAAACTAAATGAATCGATTTCAATCAGTTAAATGCTTGCTTATAGCAAAGAAATTCTTTGCTATAAGCAATCATTACCTGAAAAAAAAAAAGAAAAACTGGAAACAAACTATGGTAATAGTTATAAAAAAATAAAAAAAAAAAGTTAAAAAAAGGAGAAAAAAATGTAATAAAAAAAATGAAAAATTATTTTTTTTCGTATGCATGTGAAAAAAATTATGAACTTTTTTTTCCATTTCTTCACTTTCCGAAAAATTATGACAAAAAATTACAATTTAAAAAACTCACCATACCTCTTACTAAATACCTCCAACTCTCTACTTTGCAAAAAGGGGTCATTTGGGGGATAGCTGACATTTTTGGGCCTCAAGAAATTAGATTGGCTGTCAGTTCTTCAGGACTGATCGACTTTCAGATATATACCATAGTTGGTATATGGACTCTATAACTTTCCTACAGGCTAAATAATATACACTGATTTGGATTATTTTCACCAAAGGAATGTAGTAGAATACATCTTGGTCTAATTTTGTAAACAATTATTTATTTGCAAACTTTTATAACAGAAACAAAGAAAAACAGTTTTTTTAAATTAATTTAGCCAAAAAAAAAACAACCTAGTGGTTATTAAATACCACCAAAAGAAAGCTCTAGTTGTGTGAACAAAATGATAAAAAATGTATTTTGGGTGCAGTTCTGCATGACTGCGCAATTGTCATTCAAAGTGTGAGAGTGCTGAAACCTGAAAATTGGCCTGGGCAGGAAGAGG